CCCAGATGCAGCGCAATAGACAGATAGAAACACTAGCAAAGTAAACTATTATCTAACCTATTATCTAATGCCTTTCTGTTCATGGATATTTTCAAAAATATCTTTTTCGCATCAGCAAAACAAATGATCCGAAATGCATATACCTATAGGGATGCAGACGAACACAACGCTAAACAAATGCAATAAATGAAACTACGAAAGATCATCAAAGATGTCACAATGAAGATGATGCTATTTGAAAAAAACTGGACTGCAATAGACCAATTCATTACGATCATACTCAAATGGAGAAAATATTGTCTCGAAAATGATATATTTCGAAAAAGAAATAAATAAATAAAGGCTAATAAATATAGGCTATCAAAGAGAAAAATTTTAATGGATAACAAACACAAGAACCCCATTCTACAGTACTCTCGATATAGTTCAGGGATAGAAACGGTCTGTCACACGAGTGGGATTGCATTTGTATTAACAAATGTGATTTCATAAAGATTTGTATGATGACTAATATAGCGAAAATTTCGTTAACCTTTTGGCATATTAATAAAAATTACTAGGACTTAAGACAACTTTTATGCTCTTTATGGTATTTAACTCACATATAAGCTTTTTACTTTTCATTTAAGCGATGAGAGATAGTACTGCACCGTTGACAATCATCATAAACAACCTACACATATAAAGAGTTATAAGGTATACACCTATTGATTGCAAACCATTTGCAGATCAGAGATTATTAATATATGGTGTACTTAATGGTTCTAATATATGTGGTATTATAAAGATATTCAAGTAAATACTTAGTTGATTTGTTGAAATCTTAAAATTGTTAACGATAATGCAAAATTATGGACGTGATAATCCCATTAAGATTTAAAATAATCATCGCGCTAATAAGTTTACTGGATTAATAATTTAGACTTTTTTAAATGGTTCCACGGTTGGTGAACTCTAGACACATGATCTCAAAAAAACTTAATAAAGTTTTTCAAAAAATTCAATTCAATAAAACTTAATAGTAATAAAAAAAAGTTAAGATCTATTTAAAAATAAAAATTTATTAATAAGATAAAAAAAGTACTCACGCAGTACTAACTCAATAGTTTTAATAATAATTTTTAATCTACTCGTAGTTCTACCTAATATCTGAAATATGTGTTAAATAGTATATGCCACAAAAGATTATTTCCAGTGATAGAATGTCAAATCTATTGTCGTTTCTTCCAATGATGGAAGCTAGAATAACATAATATCTCATCATAAATCTATTGAAGAGAAAATATTAAATAAATTAGATATTTTCTCTTTTTAAAAACTGTATTGAAAATGTTTCTCAAAAAACATTGTACTTTAAAAAAATCTACATTGCGATTAAAACTATTAATTTTTAATTCATCTCCAAAGAAAAATGCAAAAAATTCTTATAAATATTGACTCTGTAAGCAGCAGACATTTAGCAAACTTTGTCAGTGAACTTAGGTGTTACCTTAGTGATTATCATTTAGAGACAACGTTCGATAAAAGTGGCACCGAAAAGCACTAAGTGCTAATAAACAGCATTCAGCATTCATATAGAACCAATTTCTATATAAAGCTATGCAAGCCAATTCCTTGGTTGATATTTTTAATATATTGTATACTAAAAGCAATAATTTAGACGTGAGTGACATTAAACGGACATTCTTAAAGTTAATATCGTAAAAATTAAATAATTCTTAAGTGTTTTAATGAAATACTAAAGCTATTTATGCTATAGTTATATTGAAGCGATTATGCACGTTATAGAGTAACTGTAGCTGTAATATTTTTGTGAGACACTATAGATTTAGTGAAGAGGTTAGCATTTGTGTCTATAGTCGATAACTTCTAATAGCACCTGTTATCGGTATTTGTGCTTCATTGATAGAAACTAATAAAATGAGATTTATTATTGACGTCCAGATAATTATTTTAGTCTTTGATTAGTTTGTTGGAAGCAATATCTCCATATATATTATTTACAAATAAAAATTATATAAAACTTGAAATATATTTTTATTTTAGATGTATTCTTAACTAAGTTTTAACATTTATTAATCATCGCATAATACATTTAAGTTTTTATAAAGATGTATAAGTTAAAATGCAGCTGAATTTCTGATATATAGTTTGTTTTTTTTTCGAAACAGATATCAAGTAATGGTATGAAGTTATGAACCTTAGAAATACTAAGTTCATATTTATGAAAACATGTATTAGTTATACCGAATTGATAAGTATGAATTTGTAAAACACTCTACAAGAAACATTAGTAGTAGTATTAAGTCCTCTTCTAGTAAACTGTCACAAAAATTTAGATGCAGTTTTAGTATCAACTAAAATTTTTGACCCGATCTTTTCTTTGCCATTCGAACTCGTCTAACTTTTAAATAGTTTATTTTTGTCATGAAGACGCGTCAGTCTTAGCAAGAAGAAATTAACACTTTAATTATATATGTTCTCTCATTTGCTATCTTAATAATTACGGATCTTAATTCAACTTTTATGAATAAGTTAAGATGAATACTTCCTTTAGCACTCAATACATAGTTCTCAGTACGTATTGTTGAACGAGGAGTTAAAATGTGCATTCATTAATAGATATAATGACACCAAACTGTTTTTAATGCGAAGGCAATTCTATTCTCTGCACCCTAGGTAAGCTTAATGCTGACATCAACATCGGTAAACCAAAACAAAAATAATAACTTCATATATTCTCCTATCTTTAATACGAATATTTACTCAATTATAAATAGTACCTTATGTATTTATTATGAACTCGCATTACATATATATGCTCATTTAAAAATTTTAGAACGATCCATTGTCCAAAGTTGGGGAACAAAACAAAACAGTATACAATCGGTTTGGTAAAAACTCTTTCCAATTGCTGGAGAGCTTTGAATAATTATGCTCTAATGTCAGCCTTGTTCATGCATATATAGTATCCCGTCCTATATATAAATTATAACTAACTATAACTTAATTATAAGAAAAACATTCCTTTTAACTTTTTCTTATATAGAGTCTCTTCCTACTGTATAACGTAATAAGGCTGTCATCATCAGAGGATGTTATTATCTGTAGAGATCTATAAAATCCATTAGTCAGTTGTCAAGTTAAAACTATTAAAACTATCTATGATAATAAATTATAAAGTCGATACTACCTTTATACTTACATAAATAAACCAATTTAGCATGATTCAAGAAAGTTATTATAGGAGTTTCAAAGTATATAACATAAACTTCTCTCCAGAACCCATTTAAAAATGTAGTAAAGAGTAATACTGATTCATAACTCATTTATTTCCACCTTTACAAAAATAATTGAATATTTGGAAAGCAGGTATCAATTATAAAAATGGATGATCTAGATTGAGATCAACTGGTTTCAATTGCTTTTAATTTGTGTTTAGTAAGTCTGAAATCAAAAACTTATTAAAATCCTAATAGACCGATTTTACCTAAGTAAATTATCAGCTAGTTCATTGAAGTCCCTTTTATATTATATAGGTATATATATAACATATATATCAACTTTAATAAATATGAATATATATATACATATATATATAACACAAAAATGGAAATACAATTTTTATCACATAATGATGGAAATAAAAGGTGATGTCGCCAATATTAGCGGTTGGAGTAGCGCCGTCAATGCCCAGTTGAGAATTTAAACTAACAGTACATTTTTTTTATTTCTTGAAAAAGTTTTTTAAAAGTTTTAACGACCCCATATATTTAACCGATTCATATTCACATTGGATTGAGCTATTGTTAAACTTACCATTTTACTTTCTTATTCTGAATGTATATACATTTATCTTCAGCTTTAGCAACTTTTCATGAAATATCTTTAGCTGGAGCTGCAGAACTGACTGAAATGTCGTACTGAAAATGTACGAGTATAAATGAGAGGTTAGAAATATAGGCGTTTTGTAGCTTATGAAATGAGCTATGCTATACTATTGGAATTGTACCTGTATTGGACTGACTGTAAGTGTATGGAGAAAGTTTCCGCATCTTTAATCAATGTTGTTAGATTTGGTTATAACTGCAACAGTAATGTAGATTTCTCCATAAATTTATATATACCAAGTACGCATACAAATATATATTATATATATAATATAATCCTACAACAACAACAATTCTTTTTGTATTTATTTTAATTAATTAGACTTTTGTCTGACTATACAGCTGTCTCAAGTATTGTCAAATATCCATTATCAGTAGTCTTGAAATTACTTCTTATATATAATTATATGTAAGTAATTTTTTTTTTTGAATCTCCAAGTACCAAGTGATGAACTCATGCCCTGCCAAATTTGAATCTCAGAGTCCGCGTTCAACTGACCCAAAGCCGTACTTGACTTGTATGTTCGAGCTTAGAGCTTTTTTAATTTCCCGAGAAAGCTCATTAATAAATTCACTTGCCGTGGTACATTATGAACGAAATTATAAACCAGCTGAAGAGTGATTGAATTAATATAATATATTTTTATTTTTAATTGTTAAATTTGTTGTTCATTTCGTTGACTTTATTTATGACACGCAATTTCTATATCCTTTCCTAAAATATTTATAAATATTTAAACAACTTCACTTCGATTGTTTTTTACATTTTATTTACATAATATATAACGAACTAAAAATTTTGAAAAAGTAAGGAAATTTTGACCAGGGATCATTTTGCGGAATCTCTATATTTTTCTTCGTACATTTTGAAAACCATTTTGTAAATTATACATTTAATTAACCATTGCGGTCCAATCCAAACTACATAAAAAATCTTAAGTCTAAATCTAAAGTCTAAATATTTGAAGATCTGTAAAAATGTAAAATATTATTAGATAGTTTTCTAAAATATGTTATAAGTATATAATATATAAGTACCCAATTTAGTGCTTACCAGTCAGCATGGATGATCAGTTCAGGACACAATTAATGTTGCTTCCAAATTAGTTGTTTTTTTTTTTTTTGTTCACAATTCTCTATAAATGAGTTACCATCAGGACATTCTAACCGGCACCGTGACATATCCTCAGGCTCTTTACGATTAATATCCATTTGCAAACATGAAACAGACTAGCCTTTGTTTATTTCGTTATCGTTCCACTTTTTTTTTTAGACGAATTTATCTCTGGTTCTTCTGTTTCTATATACAATGTGATGATATGTAAATAAACTTATTTTACATACCACAAGCGTATGTTATACTTCTCTTTGGATTAGTTTAGAAACCAATTAGTAGGACTGTCTTCACTTTATATTAAAGTAATGACAGTGTGTGTTTTTATCATTAGTTCTATTGTGGTATATATAGTGGACTCAATGGTTCGTAATTTTTTTCTACAAAGTTACATGTGGGGGTAAAATCCATTCGCTAGTATCAAGATATAATAAAGATAATATATATTTTGGAGAAAATAAAATATTTTTATACCTTATTTTTGAGGAGGGGCATTTTTTTCATTCTCTCCAATTATCATTGATATATTTTTAATTATATTAAATTTAGAAAAATCTCAATCGTTATACACGTTTTTGACAGTCCTCATTGCAGTTATTTTCTTGAAGACATACTTCCATTTTATAGTAATGTTTCTTAGTTCTTTTCTCTCACAAGTCGGACGTATTTATTCTACACAAAAGATACAGACCTCACCAATCAACGCATTAAATGGTATTTAAATCACAAAGTGCTTCGTAACGAAATGTTGAAACATTCATTTCAAGTCTGTGTAGAACATCAGTAGATAGTTAGTAGAGATAATGCACCACCTGCATTATCTGAATAATCTAATAAAAAACATAATTTCAATTTAACCAATTTTTTATAAATCATTCGTACTCATGTGTTCATAATAAAATTAATGCCAAATGAATACAAAATTATATTATTATAATCGTCTCACCTTTTTGCTTCCGTGAAAGCAATTGTAGAAGCACCCGTACTTCCGGCGCATTCTATACATATTTATATTTTTTTTTCATTTTGTGAATAACAATTTTTTAACATTTATGGCCTGCCGGAGCCCGCCATTTTCCATTCCTTTCCTTTGCTTCCAAGCGGGATCCGTATCATCGGCTGACCTTTTTTATTAGAAACGCGGCGACTAGTACTATTTCGCTTCTTTTTCTGCCCTGGTTTTCTGACTTGCTTACGAATACCGGCTGGAGCACGCTTACTGCGTTTCTTAAGCTTCTTTCCTCGCACCTTCTTTAACTTCAGTCGATTCTGTTTAGATCGCAAATTGCGTTTTAGAGATTTCTTTGGCTTCTTGCCTTTACCCTTTTTATTAGCCTTTTTCCCACCTTTCGGTGCCTTATATTTTAGCTCTTTTATGGGCCTTGAACGCCTTTTCTTCTTCACTAATAGTGAGGCTTTTACTGACCGAAGACGTTGAGTTTTTGGCTTACCTTTTGTAAGTACGTTCATCTTTCTCCCACGTGATAGTTTATTTTTATTTCTATTTTTCGTTTTCTTTGCTCGTTTGGCCAGTTCACGTCTGCGCTTAGTCATTCTTTTTGGGTGAGCTGGTCCCTTAACGGCTTTTCTTGCTTGTTTATTGCGTGTTTTCCTATAAGCGCGGAGACTTCGTTTGACGCCTTTCACTCCTAATTTCTTTGCTTTCTGCGCTTTTTTTCCTTGTTTTGCTTTCTTAGCAACGCGCTTGCTTTTCTTGTTCTTTTTAGCTTGAATTTTCCGTTTTTTAGCTCTCTTCACATTCTTGGACAGTGCCTTCTTTCTTGCGGGTTGTTGTCGTTTTCTAGCCGGCTTTTTCGCCAACGGCTTTCGCTTGTTGCTGTACGCTAGAAGTTTTCGTTTGGAGCCTTCCAATCCCAATTTTCTCAGTGTTTTATTTACAACCCTTTGACTTGCTAACCGCTCTTTCTTTACACGTTTCGTGTGCTGGTCTTGAAATGCGCTCAAATTTCTGCAGCTTCGCTTTATACCCATTTCACGTAAATCTTTATTAAGATTTTTAGCCCGTTTCCGACTCATCAAGGTGCCTAGATTTGGTCTTTTTTTTATCCGACCTTTGGGTTTTCTTTTCCTTTTAAATCTTCCGCTATTTGAATATAAACTCAATGCGGATTCCGGTTTCAGCATGGTATATTTGTCACTCGGGGTTTTTTGAATATACCCATGCTGTAATCCCGCAAAGAGAGTATATCCCACTTCTTCTTGGCATTTCTTCTGTGTCGTCTAAATAATTTTGGTTTCAAAGCGATTAATAATATTAAATATAATAAATAGAAAACTGATGTGAAATAACATTAAAAGGCAAGAAAAAAAATGTTTCAAAATTAAAAATTATGTCCAAATTATTTGTATTTGCGATAAAGTATTTGAAAGAATGAATGATATATACAATTCTAATCAGTGACATCAACTTTGAATACTGTCAGAATATTTGGAAACTTTTATACACATGTAATCTGTTAACGACCAGGCATAAACACCGAAAACCTAGAAACCTATTTCAGGAACATTACAATCCAAGAAAAACATTGGATAAAAATTTCTTGTGTTAAAAATGTTTTAGAGTGTCCTATATAGTCATAGGATCGTAGGGAACTGTTGCTAAAAATTGCCAAGAACAACTGGAACAGACTAATTGTCGCTTTACTCACAAGAAGCGTAACCACAAATAATATCAAATGGATTTTGATATGAAGATTATCGACTGGGCACCTCAAATAACACACAATACTTGTTAGCAACAAATGATGAGTTTTCGGGTGACGACCACTACTTCTACACCTGCTCGAATTCCTAATGGATACGCAAAAAAATAAAATAAAGTTGACTCGCAATATTCAAATTTCACTGCACGACGTCACTAACAGATGCAATCAATGTAAGTGGAAGAGGTTCTGGGATATTATTTTAGTGACACAAGAGGGCGCATGAATTAAATATTATGTGTAAAAATTGCAAAATTCTTATTAGTCAGGATAAAGAATTAAAAAAAATTTATAATTAAAAATTTGACATTTGGAAAAAAAACTATATAAATATATAAAATGTCAAAATATTTTTCTTTACTAATTTATGATTTTACAATTCAAAGAAATTTAAATTGGGATTTCGAGCTGTAAAAACCTTTCAAATGCTTGATTTCTGAGTCTAATGGTTGTTGATTCCAATATAATTGATAATTTTCATACAAAGTTAAAAAGCTTTTTGTGATTTAATAATAACTCTTCAACTTACACCTGCTATTGAGGCCACTTGTGCGATAATCTCCTTTTCAGTCATGGGGTCTTCTCCCAGTTTTAGGATGTCCTTGATCAGTTGGCCTTTTATTGCCATTATAATTTAGTAACTTAGTTTTTATTATGTAACTAATACCAAAAATTTTGGAAAAATTTATTTATATTAAAACTTTTAGTTCTAAGACTAACGAAAGACGAACATTCCACAATAATTCTAAATTTAATAAAAAATATTTGGTATATGATTTTTCTTGAAATTTCAAAGCATACTTTATGAATTGAATTTTATCCAAACTGTAATATTAAATCAAGTTCATAGTTCTTATGAGATATACAATAATGAATTTCTTTCGACTTAATTAAATGGCTTTGAAATATCGAATAACGATGTCCTAAGATGACAGTTTGTGACAACGAAGACGAAAATTAGAATTTAAAATTTATTCGAATTTTAAATAACTTAATCCTCAAATAAAAATCTACACAATTTAATAGATTGGAGAAAGATAAAGAAGGAAAGTTAGAGTGTGCATTCGCATTCCATATTTGCTCTTAGAGTACCTCTTATCAGATTGAATGATTGAGTGTGCGAAATCGAATGGTAATTTGTGCGATAATAAGAAAATTTTTGCTATATCGCTAGAACACGAGAAAAATAAATATATCTGATTTAGAATATAGGGGGCTTAAACGTGGGTGCTTACACCAGAAGTGTGTAGGAAAGTTTGAAATTACAAATACACGTACTGTATATATAACTTCTATATCCACAAAAACTCTTTCGAACTTACTCCATAAGTAACCACTTAGAATTTCAGAAATGAAATAAACGACCAGATTGTTCTTTCCAGAATCAAGTTGATCCAGAACAAATAAGAAACACTATTTGACTGATCATTTGTTTAAAACTGAACTTCGTAAACTGGTTTGACGCTCCCATACTCAATACAGACGACTACGATCAGGACATTAATTTCTGATAACGTGGCTAATATCTTTACTGATGGCTTTAAAATAGATAGCGGAGTCCGTAGTAAAATCTTTTTTAAAAAATTTAGACTTGCCATACCCCTTCAGGTATCATCTCATCGATGAGCTTATCGCAATAAATTGTCGGGGCTTACCTGAACACATGGACATTTCAAATTCCATATGTAATAATTGCATAATTATAAAGTAAGAAGCTACTTCAAATAAATTCTTACTAGGTAAGATAAAGAAATAAAAAAAATTTGATAAAAAATTTGACATTCAGAAACAAAAATATTTAAATTAATGTCAAAATAATTATTTTTATTAATTCACGTCAATTTTAACTGATTCAGAACAATTTTATGATTTCGAACTGTAAAAGCCTTTCAAAAAGCCTTTAATGTTGGGTTCGTACCAAATTATGTTATAAAATGGATTTTTATGAATTAACAAGAACAAGTCTTCAACTTACCTCTTCAATCAAAGCCACTTGCGCAATAATCTCCTTTTTAGTAAGCGGTACTTCACTCATTTCGAGTAAGTTTGTGATAATTTGTCCATCCAAAGCCATATTTTTATTTAAAAAACTAAATAAAATACGTAAAAATTTTTATTAATTATTACCAAGAATTTAAATAATAATTCTAATTCTGTTCTAACTAACAGAAAACGAACATTCCACAATAATTTTAAATTTAATAAAAAATATTTGGTATATGCTTTTTCTTGAAATTTCAAAGCATACTTTATGCTTAAATTTAATCTTAAATTTTAAAACTTTAAATAATTTTGTATAAAAAAATGCTAAACAAATTATAAAATATGGAAAGGCTTTAAAAATTACTGCTTTCATATATTTATATATAATCACAGCTCCTAAATCAGTTATGACTAGTTGTTGTGTTAAGAAACGTGACGGATACCAATTAATAATATATATATATATATATATATATATAAATGTGTACTGCATAATTTTAATATAAGTTCGGCTTCTATATAAATGCGTTTAAAAAAGCATATGCTTACTTTAACAGAAAGTACACTATATTACATTACTCATACGCACTGATGCACAAATAATAGAAAGCCATTGGGGGGCCCAAATGATAATATATTCCCTTGAATTCATGAGAAAGGGGTGTGTTGTCATACATTTCGATAAAAGCGGATTACAATTCTTTATTGAAATTGTTTTTGATAAACTCACATGAGGTTGGTTCAAAGGATAATACACAACTCCGACGATACATCCTCCGTTAACCAAATTGTAACCACAAAAAGCGCTTGTTGACGAATGGAACTTCAAAGTATGCAAATATTTTGCAAAAATCCAATACTCTTAGAAAAAAAAAACATTATGCGACCGCGGAATGAGCCATGGGGCGTAACCGTACTAAGTTTTTGGCTTTCAGTTCGTTCGAAGTTTTTATCAGTTTCTGTAAACTTGGCGCTTTTTGACTGAACCCCGACTGATTTCTAAAACAAAAAGCCAGATGAAATTTTCTATCAATTTTTGCTGACGTTAGCCTCTTATCCAGCAAATTTAGTATCATCATGCAACATTAGAAACAGTCACAACTTCTGGCTTTTGGACATTTATGGTGTAGTATTGTATATTGCTTTTGTATATGCATTATATCTTGTATCTTTATCAATTGATAATGATAATGATAAAATCACTTTTCAATTTTTTTACAATTATACGAAATAGTAAACACTTAGAGTTATTGCTCTAATATTATGTTAAACAAAAATATATATATAATTATGGATTCTTGTATAATCCTGCAATTTTATGTTATATATTTTATACATTTTGAAGTGCAACACTTTTAGATACACAACACTTTTCTTAAATATAAGTTATATATAAGAAAGTATCAATATTCAATTGTAATCAATATTGATTCAATTGCAACCTTCTATAAGGTTATGTTAATGTAAATTCAGTGTGTTTCTTTGCGAAAGATGTTTGTCCTTACCGTGTCAGACGCACAAGTGACTACTGTATGCTGCAGAAGCATTAACACTATCATAGAATGATAAAGACGCACTGAAAATGCAGCTTCGAGAAAAAAGTTCATCGTAAGATCTTTGGTCCTCAACAAGTTGGCGACGACTACATTGTTCGAATGAACCACAAGCTATACGAGTCTTATAACGATATTAATATAATACAACGAATTATCTTCCAACATCCTCACTGATGTGGTCAGTAGAATCGATAGAATGGATGACAATGCTCCAGCAAAAACGGTATTAGAAGTGATAGTTAGAGGAAGTAGGCGTAGTTAGAGACTATTTCTTCGGTAAAGTGAACAACAGGGAACACTAACCGCACTTGATGGACGAAACCGGAATAAGTCTAATATGAAACCTGATAACGGTTTTTTATTTTTTTCTTAGCAACTTCACAAAACCACCAAATTCGTATACACAAGTCAATGAACACTGAATCTGAGTTTTAAATTTGGCAGGGTATGAGTTCAATCATTGATATTTGCAGTCTCAGAAAACTATTTACGAATAATTATATATAAGAAATAATTCCAAGAGTACTGATGATGTGATGATAATGATGACAATACATGGTCTGCTAATAATCCAATTAATTAAAAAATAATAAAATTTTGTTGTTGTAATTCACTTCTATTGCAAATACCGCACTATTTCAACAATAGTTTCTATTGAGAAACATGTTTTATTTTGTCATAATTAAATATAAAAAAAATCAAATAAAAATGTTATTCAAATAATTTAACTACAATTTTACTCTAATTAAATTTAAACTCACTTTAAATTACATACACAAAGAAATATACTGTAAATACTAAGGAAACATACATTTTATTGAAGTTATCTTGAATTTTACAGAAAATAAAATCTTCTTCTAAAAACTGCTTATTCCAATTGTAATCCCAAGAAAAAACGAACAAAAATTCATCAAAGTCAGAAACAAGCTTGCATGCTGTTTTTAATTAATTCGGATTAAAATATACAAAGAATAAGAAGATATTTAAGAAAAACGTAAACACACGTATATTTACGTTTAGACAGTCTCGTTTATTTCGCCTGTTTGAACTCAGACTATCTGAAGGAAATCAGAGACAATGAATGCCGAAATGTAAGGCACTGCGAGCTGCAGAAGCATTCAGGAGAGCAGTCCAGGTTCTCAGCATCGAATCACACAAACCCATGTAGCCATACGTAGTTTTGTCAAACTTTTCCGAATCCGGTGTGTATTGTTACCAAAACATTGTTGCACGTAAGATATTTAAATCCTTGTTAATAATTAGTTAATCTATAATACTGGCAAAGCAAATGCGTATTTGGAAAACTTTTCTTTATTTTATTATTGAGCTCTTAATATTTTACTTTTTTTACATTTTTGTTAAATTTTTTCATTTATTTTTGTTTTTTCAGAACTGTTTATTCTTTAACTTCAATTAAATTCATACAAATTTCATTTTCGCTTAATAACCAATTAGCTTATACTCGGAATAGGAATAAACAGGGTACCAGTTCCCGACGAAACGGAGCACTGCGACCATAGTTGATATTTTGTGCTACAACAGAGCATAACCAAACAGAAGACTTTCCGTGTTCCGAATGAAAACCAGAATGTCAGCCGTTGAGGACCTGCTAATGTCAGAAGGCGAAAGTAGTTCTCGACCCAGTGACCTTCTCCTGGCCCAGATAAAGGCTGCGCCTCGTCTGATTCTAAACGGAATCGACAATCTATCTCTTTGGATAGACCCATTTTATTAAGGTGATAACGCAGCAAAATCAACTCTGTTCTGCTGAAGAAGGATACCTTACCATAACTGTAGGGATGAACCACCTCTTTAACCTGACCGTTACCTAAAATTTCGCTCCAGTAGCAACTTCTCTCGGCTAAAAACCATTTATCAATCAGAGGCCTAGTTTATGACCAACTTAGCCCACAATATGGCTCCTGATCTCACAAGACTGTCGGCAGACTCATCGCCATTGATTCCTGCTGGGTGGCCAGGCACTCAGCAAAGCAGCACTTTGTTTTTGCTTGCCAGCTGCTGTAGCGTGTCATAGCAGTCTAATGGAAGTTTTGAGGATAACTTCCAGGTGGATAATGCTTTGATTGCTGCTTGTACTAACACAAGATAAATTATAATACTGACTAAGCAGCTGTTTATAACCATAACTAAATTTATATTGTCCTCAATTTATATGCGGAAATTTAAAGTTATAATCTGTTAGATCATTTCATGGCATTTACTTTTATAATATGATTTCTATTCTATTCTATCAGACAAATTTTTGTCTAGTTTTTGCAATAAATGTGACCGTATGGCATCTATTGCGTCCAATGTTTCAAGACTTGTTGGCTTGTGAGTTGAGTTGTCAGCATAATCATAATCAATGACTTAAATTAGCCTCATAAGAACTGATTGAGAGTTGTTAAATCAGACGAACAAGGGGACCACTTCTAGAAATAAAGTTATTACAAAATTGATTGTTAAGCGCATTATATGACAAGTTGCGCCGTCTTGTTACCGATGTTTAACTGTTTAACTGATTTAATTTTGAAAATAAAAGTTCAGTCAGCATTGCTCGGTAGCGCTCACCATTCACATGTCAACAGTCAATTTTAATCGACTATGTTTGTAGTGATTTGTTAACGGCTTGAGTATTATTCCCGCTCCATAAATGACAATTTTGCTTATTGACGTAGCCATTTAACCAGAAATGAGCTTCATCACTAAACACAATTCTTCGAGAAAGTGTTCTATAAACTTAGCGAATTTTTTTTTTTTTTTTTAAGTATATTTCCAAAATTTGAAAACGTTATTCTACCGTTGAATGGTTAGTGATGAATTGCCACACCTTATTGTACAGAAATATCAACACAATTTGATATTCTCAGCTGTCAAACCATAATTATCGATATCGATAGTTCTAATGCAGCTAAAAAAACACTCTACCACAGCTGCCACAGCTGTAAATAATGCATTTTTAACGGTCATAATATTTTTGTACTTCAGAAAGTATAAATAAGTTTTGAATACTATTGAAATATATTTAAAATAACGTTAAAAACGTTTTCAAAAACTGAATTATTTTTTTATTTATTATTAACATATTATGCAGCCGTTTTATTTATGATTTGAATATCTCATAATTTTTTTTTTTTTTAATAAAATTTGAAGAACTCAAATATTGATTTCAGTTAATGCATTACATAGAATCCTTATACTTTCTGCAAAAATCTAAATCAATATTGTTGAAGCCAAGACAAATGCTTCGCTCATTAAAAACTTTATAGCTGTTTTGTTACTTTTATTTTATGCAAGTCAATTAAAATTCATGATATTTTCAAAAGCTTATATTAAAATTGCATAAATTTTTGAAACTGGCAAATAAAAGAGTCATAAAATTTAAAATTCATATGCGGCACAAAAATAATTTCATAAAAACGCGTTCCAAAACTTGATGAAATATAAATTTGCGCCTAAAAGACGCTTAAGCTTCAATACGAACAAAGCAGCTAAAGCAATAGCCGCGGCAGCTAACATTGCTGCTACTGTGACCGCTGCTCTGCACGCTGTTGTGGCAGTGTTAGCAGTGAAAGCAAAACTGTTAGCACATCGTCTTTTAATGATTTTTTATTTAAATTTTTTTCGCTGCTTTTTTCGCT